TTTAAGCTGACGCAATTAATCTGTCTATGGTTCTCAAAATGGAGATCAAAGTGACCAGGCGGAATGTGTCTGGTTAAACACTTTAATAGTGTTTTTTTTTTACAAAAACCAGCTACTCACAATTTAGTCAAAACACTCCTACATGTTCTGTGGGACATTGTTGTTTTCAGCTGTTCTCTACAGAGTCAAATTTTGTTTTTGCATTTGTTGATATTTGCCCAAATTATACCTTCCCAATAATTTATAATTAAATTTTAAGGCTATATTAATTTGTTATGGGAAGTAATTAGTCATAATATCCGTTTGTTGTCATTCCTTGTTAGACCACTACTGTTCAGTAAACTCTCAACTCTCACAAGACTCATACACACTACACTGCATAGAGTAAGAATGACTTATTTCGATATTGCAATGAGAAACTTGGCTGTTAACACCATCTGGTCACTACTGATCTTCAAATACAGACAAGATGGCGACACAAAAGTGTCTTATCAGGCTAATAAACAAAGCATTCTATTCATAAAAGTTATTATCTACTCTTGCCTTAGAGATTTCAGAGTATTCACAAACACTGTTCACAAACCAGTAGCCATTGGAACAAAAACTAGTCGAAAAGATGCAGAGAATTCCAACAGTTCAAACCGTAGTGAAATGAGGATTAAGGTAGAGAAAAACAATAATTTATTACCCTATATGATACTCGTAATTTTACATTTTACACTGATGAATTCTATTCGACAGAAGTGGATAAAGTTAAATAAACTAAAGCGATTCATGGAATTTTCTATAGTTTGGTTTGTAAGGGTTAGTTTTGTTTTTACGAGTTGATCATGGATTGATATCAGTTAGAGAAACATTGAAAACAAGCAGGAAGTACTGGACAGCTGTTTCATCCTAGTTTGGGAATCACAGAAAATTAATCTGATGCTCACTAGTGACTTGCTACAGGATGGAGTTTCCTGGAGTTCTAATGAGAAGTCGTTACCAGCGAGGTCCATCCAGATGTCACGTGTGAGGATGGATGTCCCACCCACGACATTGGTTGGGGTCGTGCTAAATCACGAATTGGTAGAAGTTAGAATTCATGGGCTGGCCATTGAGGAATCAGGTCCCAGTGGCTGAATAGTATTCAAGCTTTCTGGCCTTGTAATCGGAAGGTCCTGGGATCTAACCCGGGTGGTGGGTGTGTACTGCCGGTGATTCCCAAACTAGGATGAAACAGCTGGCTGTCCGGTACTCCCTGGTTTTCAATGGATCTCTAACTGATACCCATCCATGACCAACTCCAAAAAAGATTTATGGAATGTAAGCGCAAGAGTGACCTTGAGGTGACCAATCAGAAAAGCTTATGGTTTTAGAATAAAAGTGTCGTTTATTTACAAGAGAATTACAGAGATGATGACAAAACGCATTAGACAGGAAAATTTTTTTCAATGTGACTTAAAAACCTCTCCCAATTTGTAATGAAGAGTACCAATTTTCATGTCGGACTTTTTTCTGTACATGTATTCATGAATGTGACTATAGATGAGTTCTTTTTGTAGCCCATTTATCGCTCTTGTCCTTTTCCCAGTTTGCCCCAAAAGCCCTAGATTCCATTACAATTGTTTCCAGTAAAGGAGTTAACAATTATTTACTAGAAAAATGCATATAATAAAAATAAAACACACTAATTCGAATCTCAACCCCAAACCTGATCGTACCGCTAACCCAAGTTGTAACCCTAAGACTAAACGTAACCCTAATCAGCTATCAACACATTGTCCAAATAGTACTTACAAACGAGATCGAGATGAAATTTTGCACCTCAGTTCATGAACAGGCTTCATAGTGGCGCTATATTAATAATAGTAGGTTTCATCATTTAACGGACAGTGTGCATTCAAGATCACTGGTGCTTTCGCACGCCTGGATCACTATACTTCAACTTGTCCCCTACTGCTGCTCTATCTTTGTTGACATATGGCTCCCAATTTGGATGTTTTGACGACGATTGAAGAAGATTAACATAATGTAATTTGGTGAATAATAACTAACTATCAATGGAATCCGGGATGAACATTTCGTCTTATTTTTGAACTCTTCATCTGGATACATCTGCAGTCCCCAGTGCGTGATGGCACTGCTACTAAGACACGAACTCAGTACTCATCATTTTGATATTTACAGACTTAATTTTCTACATGTTACTTTTGCATGTATATTGACCTGACTTTCTCTCAACCTACCTGTGACCTTCGAAATCCTACCGGTTGTTCACTGTCCTAATTTATCAATGACATTAGTGCTTCTCAAGGTCGTTTTAAACATATATCTACGTAATTGCTGTTAACCTCTTTGCTTTGATTATGGTTTTGAGGCAGTAAAAGCTCTCTTACCAACATCCAGTCTTCTCTTCTGTATTTGCGGCGACTAGGACAGATTAGCCAGCACATTAAGTTATTATTCGCTCATAGGTCACAGTTCCAGTCATAACACATTTCGAAAGCTAGAGTGTTATACAGTAGGCCACTTGGATCATGAGAGCCACTTTTTATGCAACGCCGTATCAGCTATAATTTTTTAAAGTTAATCTTGTATTTCTTGTGGATTAATTGTATTGGAGCCATCTCTTGTGTTTATCTGCTATTCGAATGTGAAAAAACACAACCACACTTATCTGTAGAATTCATCCTTTTTTCTATTTCTTATCAAGATGAGATTGATTGACTGCTTGTTGGAAGTAAGATTGAATTTGAAATCGATTTTTTATTTGAATTGCTTCTTTTTTCTCTCTCTCTCTCCCTACTTTACACTATGTTTCTGTTTTCATACAATAGAACAAAACAATAAGTAAATAATAAAAAAAGAAAAGAAAATATAATACCTTAAATCGAATTCTGGTTTGTACTGACGAACATATGCATAGATGTACACAGAATCCCTGGTATCACTGTTGATAATGATAATCTTACAACATGGTTTCGAACTCTGGTGGGTGAGTACTGATGAAGAGTCCCAAACTAGGACGTAGGAAACAGCTGCCCACTACTCCAGTGCTGGTTTTCCAATGGTTCTCTGAGTGATGTCAGCTCATGATGAAATCCTCCAACCTATTGAATAATTCTTAAGAGTTTTTTTCAATAGGTATTTGTTTTGCTTCAAGTTTAGTCATGGATTGGTATATAAGTTAGGGAAGCGTTGAAAATCAGGGAGAAGTGAACAGCTGCTTCGCCTTAATTCGTGACTCATCAGGGTTCGAACCCAGGACCTTCCGGTTACAGGGCAAGTTGGTAGACTTTTCAGCTACTTAGACCCTATCTAATGGCTCATGAACTCGCATTTCTACCAATTCGTGACTTTGTAGCGCGACCACCAACCAATGTCATCGGTGGGACATCCATCCTCACTCCCAAATGGATGCACCTCACTGGTGACGACCTCTCATTAGAACTCCAGGAAACTCCGTTCTGTAGCAGGTCACTAGCGAGCATCAGATTAATTTTTAAGAGTTGATTTGAAAGGATTAGATTTGTTTTTCGAGTTTGAACTCGGATTGAAGTACTGGACAGCTATTTCATCCTAGTTCGGCACTCATCGGCAGTACACACCCACCAAAGGGGTTCGAACCCGGCCATCTATTTGTATTCGACTGGTTATTATCTTTCCCCACTAAACTCAACCATACTTTTGACCAAATTAACACTGTGACAGAGTTCTACGCATTTATCCACTATGAAATCCTGATAAGTGTACTTTTGATAAGGACTAGTAGGGTTTCGGTCAACTAGATATTTTTCACTGTACTTTGATTGTACACCTGAAAACAGTGGAAATAAGTTTATACTCTGTATGTAGTATCCTTACATATTATAATACACGTTTAGTAAAAAACCATTTGAACTTAAAATAGCTTATTCATGATCTTTGTGTGTGTGTGTGTGTGTGTGTGACGTTAACTCTAGAAACTTTAGTTCTCATGGTACATCTTGCATAATTAAGCAATAAAGATGATTAGAACAAATAAACGCTAACACTATAATAGTAATAGTAATAATAATAATAATAATAATAAATATGCATATATTACTGAATTGTTCAATCATCATATCAATTAGTGTCATTGTTAATGTTTTACTTTAGGTGTTCTGACTTTTAGAAAAGTTAATAAATTATTTATTTATTTATTTATTTATATATGTATATGAGTTCAATATTCAAGAGTATATATATTTATTCAATTATTGTAAGTGCAGTACTACTTGGCTATATACAACTTTTCAGTTTGTACAAGTATTTCGTCTTCATTACAGTCTTTGTTTTAAGTTAGTAAAGACATGAAATAATATTCTGCTAACCTTTTTTATTTATTCCTTTATGTTCCCAGTGGAACACAGGGTGGCTTCAAGCTAGAGACTTGAAGTTTCGGTAGTAGTGGTGTATACTTTTACAGAATAGGGTTGCTAGTCTCATGTCCAGGCCAACCTTCCCTCTTTACCAGTCTTATTACGGTGACCAGGGGTCGAACCCCGAACCATATGAGGCGTGGTTGGCAAGCACTGTACCGCTGTGCCACCGATGCATTGTCTTCGCTAATTCACTCAAACGTGTTAGATGACTCAGTTAGATCTAATAGATAAATAAATTGGTCTAAACGGTTAGATCACACTTGAAGTGAATTGGTCTGAGTATGCGCCTGATGAATTTTATCTCAAATCAGGCTATTGAGCATTAGTCAAACTGATATACGCACCTTTCTGTGCTTTCCTTTAGTTAAAAGGATGAATAGTGAACGAGCTCGTCTTGTGTCCCATAGATCCTAGATTCAATCCCTGGATGAGTACTGCTGAAGAGTCTCAAACAAAGAAGAAACAGCTTTCTAGTTCTGTCTGGTTATCAATCGTCCTCTGACTGAAGTCAACTGGTGGTGAGTCTTACAAGCAATCACATAAATGGATTGATGATGGCCTTGGTGATGTCATAATTTTTATGAGTGAATCAAATGCATTTATGAAGAGATATCATGAAATACAAGTAGTAGTAGTAGTAGTAGTAGTAGTAGTAGTAGTAGTAGTAGTAGTAGTAGTAGTAGTAGTAGTAGTAGTAGTAGTAGTAGTAGTAGTAGTAGTAGTAGTAGTAGTAGTAGTAGTAGTAGTAGTAGTAGTAGTAGTAGTAGTAGTAGTAGTAGTAGTAGTAGTAGTAGTAGTAGTAGTAGTAGTAGTAGTAGTAGTAGTAGTAGTAGTAGTAGTAGTAGTAGTAGTAGTAGTAGTAGTAGTAGTAGTAGTAGTAGTAGTAGTAGTAGTAGTAGTAGTAGTAGTAGTAGTAGTAGTAGTAGTAGTAGTAGTAGTAGTAGTAGTAGTAGTAGTAGTAGTAGTAGTAGTAGTAGTAGTAGTAGTAGTAGTAGTAGTAGTAGTAGTAGTAGTAGTAGTAGTAGTAGTAGTAGTAGTAGTAGTAGCAGTAGTAGTAGTAGTAGTAGTAGTAGTAGTAGTAGTAGTAGTAGTAGTAGTAGTAGTAGTAGTAGTAGTAGTAGTAGTAGTAGTAGTAGTAGTAGTAGTAGTAGTAGTAGTAGTAGTAGTAGTAGTAGTAGTAGTAGTAGTAGTAGTAGTAGTAGTAGTAGTAGTAGTAGTAGTAGTAGTAGTAGTAGTAGTAGTAGTAGTAGTAGTAGTAGTAGTAGTAGTAGTAGTAGTAGTAGTAGTAGTAGTAGTAGTAGTAGTAGTAGTAGTAACATACAGAATTGAAGCTAAATAATTTAACAATATAGTGTGCTCACTGGTATGGGCAACATTAATCTGTGCTAAGTAAGCCCTGGCGGTGACTTTCCAGCTAGGACTGTGTAAAATTCTAAATAAAGGAACTATTTTCTCCGCCTTGTCCCTTCACCTAGTTACCTAGTCAGAATCCAGTTTGTATGCTCTAATTTACCACGACATAAACGACAGGATAAGACAAGTATCGTGAGGCTTATCCATATTGATTAGTTGTAGCCACTTTAACGATATAGAAACATCAAGCATTCATGCTTCTCACCTTATTGGTATACTGTGGTAGTATGAGCCATCTCATGTGTTGTTGTTATTGTAAGGCTTAGAATTGTATAGGTGAACTAGAATTTGGACGCATTTATTATTATATTGCATTTGTGAATAACTTTACATTCAACAATGTCTTATACAATCAGGCATATCCAATTCATTATTTAGGCGGTAAATAATTAAGATAAGTCAAATAATGATAAGGCTAAATAACATTTGATAAAACCTTTTGTTTACGTATGTATGTATGGGTCGTCGTACTCTGACATCTAAATATATGTAACACGCCGATATTAACATATATATCTATCTATATATTATGGCTTATATGTATGCACAATTTAATAACAAAGCATAGCAACAAAGGAATGATAGATACAAGGGTCATTTTAGCAACTAACACTAATCACTTGTGCTAGGATCATCTGACCAAAGCAAAACAGTCAGAAAACTGACATTAGATTAGTGATAATTTCAGTGTGTAAATGAATATACATTAGGACAGCTATGTTAACGCCACTTCACTGTCTGATAACTAGGGTGAATTTTAGTTACTTGGGTTGACCACTCAAGGATATGGACAGTTTAGCTCATATGTTGTGTGAATAAGTTGCATGATCGGCCCTGAGTTAGAAGTCAATATACAGTTTAGTTGCATATTATCATCATAAAGATTATTATTATTATTCTCTTGAGTTCCGAGTGGAACATCGTGGGGCTTCAACAACACATCTCCATTTTCTTCCGTTTCTGGATGTCCTCTTCAACTGGTTAGCTACACGATTGCCTATAAACTCTCATCTCCTCCTCCTCTTCCTCCTCGCCAACACACGATCTCCTACATGTCACCCTCATACTGACAACCCACTCGTCGCTTCCTATCAGAATTCCACTCGAGTGATGGCTTGCATTGTGCGCGACTTCATTCGACGGTCTCCTCAGTGGCGTATACCCGATCCATCTCCATTTTCTCCTACATAGTCGTTGGGCAATCGGCTCTTGATCATTTGGTTTGTTCATCGCCAGCCACAGTTTCTTGTTGCTAATTCTTCATGGCCACCCTGTCGACTGGCTGGCCATTTGATCTTCAGTATGGAGCCAGTCAGCCAGCGAACCTGGCAGCTGTTAATAAAAAGTCTCTAACAGGCTGTTGGAAACGCTTTTCGTGACACACGCACAGTGCAAATTTCCGACCTGTATAGAAGAACTGATTGACTGACTGACCTCGCATTTGTGTTGAAAACCCGAATCTTCTTATAGTTGCTAAGTGTAGAATATTCCCAAGGGCATTTCAGAGTGAGGAAGGTCGACTTTGTCTTTCCGAATCTGACTGGTGTTGAAAGCTTCATCCGTTCCGCAGGCCTACTGCTGAAACCATGCTTCCTCGCCAGATAAGTGAACCTAGGAAGTAACCTCTGTCAAATCTCTCCGGTTGATGGTGATTGGTGCTGGCTGTTGTTGCTTTTGCTGGTGGTGGTGGTTGGTTGATTATCTTCATCACCTCCGTCTTCCCCTTCTCTATGTTCACCTAGAGTCCTGTCTTCGCTGCCTGACTCTTTAGCCAGTTTGTTGGTTTTCGCCTGTAAGTCATCAAGTTTGTGGGAAATTAAACAAATCATAAAGACTGAATAAAGTCAAGAAAGATCCAAGTGAACTGTCAGTACTACAGAACAAGGATGTTTTTGCGAGTTGATAACGGACTGATATCAGTTAGAGAACCATTGAAAGCCAGGGAGTACTGGACAGCGGCTGTTTCATCCTAGTTTGGGAATCATGGGCAGTACGTACCCACTGGTATTCGAACATAACAAATCCTTACAAACCAAACTTTAGAAAATTAATCTGATGCTCGCTAGTGACTTCCTACAGGATGGAGTTTCCTGGAGTTCTAGTGAGAAGTCGTGACCAGTGAGGTCCAATTAGATGTCACGTGTGTGGATGGATGTCCCGCCAACGACAATGGTTGGGGTCGTGCTAAACTCATCACGAATTGGTAGAAGTTAGAATTCATGAGCCGTTGAATCGGGTCCCAATGGCTGAATGGTATACGAGCTTGCCTTGTAACCGGAAGGTCCCGGGTTCGAATCCCAGTGGGTGCGTACTGCCGATGATTCCCAAACTAGGATGAAACAGCAGCTGTCCAGTACTCCCTGGTTTTCAATGGTTCTCTAACTGATATCAGTCCGTGATCAACTCGTAAAAACATAACAAACCCTTACAAACCAAACTTTAGAGAACAATGATGTGTTTTGTCTTATGGATGAACTGTTGTCAAATTTCCCGTCAAATAAAAGTATAAGTTAAACACTTTAGTTATATTGACCTGATTACTGAGGTAAATCTAATCTATAACACTGTTCTTCTCTCTGGAACAGTCACTAGGATATAAAAATCATACGAATCGACAAAGAAGCGAGTGCATCTATCATGGTTCTCTTACCGAAGTTAATTTTTGATCAAAATCCTGAAATCATATTTTCATGAAACAACAAGAGATGATATTTACCTTAGATTTTCTGCCTCTCAGAACAAACAAATCAGCAAGACATCCAGTAACAGTGAAAATGCCATGTTTAGAAGTTTTATCACGAAACTGTTGGGAATTATGGTTCAGAGAGGTCAGATATGTTGCCAGTGTGTGTTTAATCAAAATTCCTAGTAGATTACATTGGTGACTGCAAACCAGTAACAGATCTATTTTGACAGCTTGTTGTCAACTAATCCCTAAAAGTCGAATATGTGAAAGAGAAACTCCGAAAATAAATAAATACTTTCTAAGTGAGTGACGCGGATTCGAATCACAGAAGGGGCATGAACTCCCTCAAGATTGAAGATACACTTTGCTAACGAGCACCGACGAGTATGACACCTAGGTCCAAAGGCTTCCTGCAAACTGCCGCAAACCAACTAACAATTAAAAGTTAATTGATGGATGGGGACTAGCAGTGGAATTCAGGACAAGGCGCATTTCGTCCTGTTTGGGATTGACTCGTCAGCTAACCGGATGTGCCTGCATTCCCCAGTCACTGAGTAATGGTGTTCCCACCAAGGATCGAACCCAGTACCCATAGTTTCAAACGCCAAAGCGTTATCCACTAGACCACCTGAGCCATGAGAGCCACCTCTTGTGCAACGGGTCATATTAATTATATAATTCAACTTTAGATTTTCCCCTCGATTCATTGGACCGAAGTGGTCGGTCACGAAATAGACATCCTGGATTTCACTGCTAGGCGCCATTCACCAATTAACTTCTAATTACAAGCCCAGACATAGTCGAAGCATCTTCACAAGAAGGCGACATGTCAACCTGAGACCGAGCACTTCGGTCTAACAAGTGTTTCTATTTTTCTTGTGAAAATTTCCATCAAGCGACTGGCCTGACAGATAAAACTTTACCTAGTGGTGGCAAGATTCGTGTTATTACACTTTATAGACACTCTAAATTATACCAAGTATTCCAGCCTGAATTACCTCACCTCACGGACTATAACAATTGAAAACGTCATCCTAGAGAGAAAGAAATTCATAAATTTGATTATGTCTGTATAAACTTCCGGTTGTATTGAATTGCGTCATCGCAAATTTCTGATAAAAAAGTAAATAAAATGACTGATATCGCGTTATGCCTGTTCCTCCCTTTAATAATAAAAAGAAATGAGCTCAATTTAATAAATATGGCATTCATTACTGTTGCAGATATACATGTTAAATTCATAACTTGTTTTAGATTTTTGGATAAGGCTAAAAGTGTATCTTTTAGACTGATAACATTTTCTCTAGTTTTGGTTTTTGTAGGGATTTCGACTGATTGGTTGGAGGGTTTCATCAGTTAGAGAACCATTGAAAAACTTGCAGGGAGTACTCTCAGACAGCTGTTTCGTGCGTCCCAGTTTGTGACTCTTCAGAAGTATGCACCCACCACCAGGGGTCAAACCCGGGACCTTCTGGTTACAAGGCTAGCGAGCACGTAGACCATTAAGCCACTGGGACGCACCGATTCAATGGTCAGTGCATGAATTCGAACTTCTGCAAATTCATGACATAGCAAGATAACATTTTATAGAAAATATTCTAGAGTATTCCAGAAATATTATGTGCTAATGGTGTAAACGAAAAACTGTTTGAAAAATCCTTCCCTCTGAACGACCTAATCACAATATTGATACTTATTTGAGTTTGCCAACTAACTTTGTTATCATTATCCGTTTTTCTCCTATACATTTTATCACTCCCCTGACATTTGCTTATCCTCTGTCGACTTCATCCCCATCATTTGTCTTTGTCCCTGTTTAATCTCTAAATTCAATGTTTTTCATCATGAGCTGACATCAGTTAGAGAATCATTGGACAACCTGGGAGTACTGGGTGCATATTGATGAAGAGTCCCAAACTAGGGCGCACGAAACAGCTGTCTTGCAGTACTCCAGTGCTGGTTTTCCAATGGTTCTGTAACTGATATCAGCTCATGGTGAAACCCTTCAACCAATCAGTCGAAATCCCTACAAAACCAATACTTGTACATTGATAATGTGTTGCTTTTATTATGTCATTTTGTTTGAGTGAATGACTGTCCGTGGACTGTCAATGGGAAGCGTTGGTGTGTGATTCTGGTGGAAAGAGAGTTTCGACCCCACATTGTTGTGGATATTCTACCTGATTTTAAGGTGTTTCTTACAGTTGAATATTGGCTGATTATTTTTGTTCT